TCATTAATGACATCGTTAATTACAGAAGTAAAATATTGAACTTTACAAGTATACATGCATAAACAAATTTTAAAAAATTTATCTGCTATCAATTATGACAGCGAATATTATAAAATCACAAAGTGTTTAAATTTGCTTCAATGCATTAGAATCTAAACTCTAATCAATAATTAATATCAATTAATTTTTAATTATTATCTCTAAATTATATATTTTATAACGTAAATAATTTCTCGTCGCATGTAAAGGAGATATACAAACAATTTAGCTAACGAACGGAAAATTGTTCGAAATACCTGTTGAATGTAAGCAGTTAAATTTTATAAGTTTGTATGTGTTTCTCACGTAAACGATGATAATTGAATCATTCACGACCGAGTCAATTATCAATTCAATCATGCCCCAATCAAAATATACTTGCATATTTTTAATTCATTAATGATTCATGCGAATGTCGTTAATGTTTAAATTCGTTAGAGAAAGGTTTGGATTTTAGTTTGAAAATTTGAGCAATTTTCACCTTTTGTTTAATAATTAGAGCGTATTTATAATTAATACAATATTTATTTAATGTAAACCTGTAATTTTGATTCTGTCTCTTCTGATACATTTGCAGAATAAAACGGTCAGATCATAAAATACACTGTTGGTATTATATAATAATTGCAAAATTAACGTACGAAGCTAAAACGTATGAGATAATAAAGTTTTAATTGTAAATATTAATTGAAATCATTCAAAGTGTTTTATAATTTTAATTTTCACTAATATTTCATAAAAGTCTTATTTAAAAAAAAAAAAAAAAAAAAAAAAAAAAAAAAAAGATTTATTATTTGGCTTTTAGATTTAAGTGGATCTAAGTGTCCATTATCATTTTGAAATAAAAATTTAATATCGAATTAGTAATACTTCAATATTTATCATATTTCAATAATATTAATAATAGAATATTTATGAATTATAACCAATTTGATGGAAAATGTTCCTTTTCTATTTTTTTTTTATCGCATTATTAATTATGAAAGTTAAAGTAAAAAATACAACATTGTATTCATTAATATATATTTATAAAATATAAAACGATTTAGAAGCTTATCATTGTATTTAATTAACAATAAAATTAAAATCACGTTGCCGATATTTTTTATACAAAATCATGTAGCATTTTCTTTATCACTCATTTTATTAATTTTTAATCATCACTCGTCATACTTGAATAATAATAAAAAGAAAAAAAAAATTTAAATATTCTACGGTTATAACTAGAAAATAAAACAAATGTTTATAAGTTTTGGCAAATGAACGGTATTTAATCATTTGCAAAATTTTACTCCTTTGCGTAAGAATATGTTTATATGAAATATTTTATCAAAAGAATTAGTACACGATTATGCAATATACAGTCTATGTTTAATATTACTAATGCAACATGTGCAATATAATCATAGTAAATTGGAAAAATCATAAAAATAAAACATAATTATGTATAGATAATATTCAATAAATTGATTTTTGTACTTTATAACTGCATTTTAATTTGGCACCTACTATTTTTATACATAGATTACATTTTACAGAAGTAATTTAGGATCATAGAACTTGATATATAAACTTTTTAATAATTATAAAATAAATATTTCATCAGACTTTTAAAAAATACGTATAAACAAGAGTAATTAACCAATATATTTAATTATTTTTCAAAATTACTCTCGATTGTCACATGTCGTATATATGCATGCCTCTCTCTCTCACACACACGCGCGCGCGCGCGCGCACACGCACGCACACACACACACACATATATATTTTTTTTTCAACTAAAAATAAATATTTTATAATTACTTAGAAGTTTAGAGATATATTTATACATTCTATATTACTTTTGTAAAACAAATTTATGAGAATATTACATAAAAAATCGAAGTATACTTTCAAATGTTTGAAGATACTTAACATTGAATGATTGAACAGTTAAAAATATGTTTTACAGATCATGAATTTAAAATTTTCAAACTTACTCTTTCATTAAGAACGAGAACGATGTTTAAAATAATTGTTCATTTTATATTAATGTAGATATTTCTACCTGAATAAATCATTCCAAACCATTTTATCTTGAACAATACAAATTATTACAAAGATTGTTAACATTTCTTTTACTGTTCTAGTTACATCGTTTTACGAATCACGAATTACGCACGTAGACACATATGATAATGAAAAGTATTTTTTTTTTTTTTTTTTTTTTTTTTTTTTTTTTTTGTTGAAAAATATGTTTCTCGATATATATATATATATATATATATATATGTATATATATCGAAGTTTGGATACATTACTACTTTCGGTAAAAATGCTTTCGACTTCTTTCTGGTATCTTCTGCTTCATTCCGATATTTTGTTCATTCATTACGAACATTATTTTTTCTACTATCGATTATATAATTTTTCCAATGGTTAACCATTGAAATGTCTTCTACATCAGAATTTCTTTATTTTTATTTATCTTCATTTTCACACAATCTATACAACAAACAAGCTCCGTAAATTAGTTTCTAATGTGCGTACATATATTTGAGTAGGTACGTACAATTACTTTTTCCTTATTTTTTTTTTATTCTTTATTATTTATAATTGCAAACATGCTTTTTCGTAAACATAGTTATAGGTACGTGCTAACGTACTGAGGAAACGACTTACACTTCACTTATAATTATAAACTCGTGAATTTTATCACGTTTTATGTTTTTGTATTATTTATTTATTTATTATCATATAAGTTTAAAATTCACAATATCAGCCAAGTACTACAATGGATTTCTTATTTATTTTATCTTCGTGATATAATTTCTTTATTATATATAGTCTAGAAAGGAAAAGCGCTCTCGAGATCGATTATGTTTTATGTCGACGATGGATAGTTTCGACTTTAATTTTCCATCGACTGATATTTGTATTTTTGTAATAGTATAATTATAAATTTACAGATGATTTTTGAGCAAAATTACAATGAAAGTCATGTGTTTATAATTTTCTTTTAATAATTGTAAGTTTTTAATGTGAAAGCAACCCTAATTTTACAAATCCTTTTTGGTTTTTAATAAAATTAATGAGCATTCAAGGCATTACATATTGTCCTATGGTTGAAATTGAGAGAATATTTTTATAAAATTTACAATTATTAAAAAAAATCGTGAATTTCAGTAATTTAATTACTTGTAATTTTGTTTGCCCAATATATATTATATATTATTTTCTACAATACGCTTTTCCTCGGACGCATTTTTTATTTTTATTCTGAAACAAACACTGATGAAAAAAGTAACTCGAAAATTTTTATTTTTTTTAATAAGCTACGTAGATTTTCGTGCGTACATACGTATGTTTAATAACACATTTTGTTTTCACTTTACATACACAGACTTCAAACAGATTTGACGATTGACAGGAAACTTATTTTACATCGTAAGAGGGTTTTTTTTTTTTTTTTTTTTTTTTTAAATATGGAATGGTTTATCTAGCAATCTAACGACTTTGTGTCATCATTTTTTTCTTGTATTTTACATTTTTCAGTATATGTATATGTTTGAAGAAAAAAAAAAAAAAAATTACATAATTTTTTTAATAACTCATCTACCTTTTTCATAGTAAGGTAACTTTAACGCAAAATGAATCGAAGATTCTTTATTCTTCATAAATGTCTTTAATTGAAAAAGTAATTCACCAAAGCTTTTGTATTTTTAACTTATCAGTTTTATTTGTTATTTAATAGACACTAACGTATTTTTGTCACCTTGGTTTTATTACCTTCATAATAAAATATTGCCATTTTACAAATTCACGTTTATCTAAAATTTTGCACAGCTGAGAGTGTAATTATTTTTATTTGTACTCTCGTATAAAAGTATATTACGGATTAAACTTTTCAGGCAACGTGTTTGCAAAGTACGAAAGATAATATTTAACTAGTTATAAAATAGCTAATTTAAAATAATTATATAATATAGCAAATGTATGTCGTATGAATTTTCTTCATTTTTGCTCACAGCTTTGGCATAAATAACCATTTTTTATACGTTTATTTTATAATAAAGGTCTGAGTAAAGAAGCCTTCTCTCAGATATTGTTAGATTTTCTTAAAAAAAAAAAAAAAAAAAAAAAAAAAAAAAAAAAAAAAAAAGGCACCTTGTATAAGGTTACTTCGTGATTTAGCAACTTTCTTATGTTTATGTAATTGTCAAATTTGAACTTTAAGAATTGTAAGAAGGCATCAGCGATAAGCGAAATCAATCTTCACTACCGACAAACTTGGTTTCGATAATATTAGATTAATTTATTATTTCTGCGTACTACATTTTATTATTATACGCAATTATATGAATATAATCGACGCTCTCCTAATATGAAACAACTCTTCACAAAAACTGTACAACAATAAATTATACGTTTACGTAAAATTCACATTTTTTTCCGAATATAATTTCTTTTTTAAATTTCTTCTCTTCTTTCGTTTACATATTATTATCTATTCCGTCTTTTTTCTCATCGTTTTCCTTCTTCATCCGAACTATCGAAAAAAGAACAGAAAAAACGATTAAAGTTTGTAAAGTTTGTAATCTTTTAAATAAAAGCCTTTATACCGCCTGTATTAACACTTTTCCGAAATACACTTTAGCATATTCCATTCAATATAGTCTATGCTCGAAGCCTTAGGCATATATACGACGAACAAATTATAATCAACAATTCATAAAGAAATACTAAATAAAAGTCATGCTTCTCTCTCTCTCTCTCTCTCTCTCTCTCTCTGTCAATCTCTTTCACACTTGCATTCACTCGTTCACTTTCTGTTGTCTGTCACTCCTTTTCCTTGCGCTTTTATCCTCTCAATCTCTAAATAATTAATAATCAAAATAAAATTCATAAAAGTATTGTGCGAGTCACAAAAAAAAAAAAAAAAAAAAAAAAAAAAAAAAAAAATAAAAAAAAATAAAAAAAAATAAAAAAAATAATAGTAAAAATCTACACTTTCGAGTTGTTGCGTATTGAAAGAGCCCTTGGCTTTCTTTCACAACTTTTTCATTCTCTTTGCTTTTAGGACACTGAGCTTATGGCATTGTGCGGTGTGCCCATTTGCGTGAGCACCTTATCAAGCCACTGTAGTGGACCATGAAGATGTGTTTCTATCCAACAAGGTGTCGACGTTACATCCTGACGATGATACTCGGCACCCCAACCCTTCACGAACGACATTCTGCAAACAAAGTACAATATGAAGTTAATTTGTCTTTAATATATCGATTTATCGCGACGAATGTGGCGATATATATATATATATATATGTATATGTATATTGTTGCAAAAAATGAAAATTGCAATGCACACAAATGGGTATGGAAGTATAGGGAATAAAAAAAATGAATGGATGAGAATTCGTTACCTAATGGTACACATTTTGGTGAGCTCGTATACGGCTTCAAAGCCGTGATTGACGCTTTGCGACAGCAACTGGGCAAACTCCTGGTTGTTGAATATTTTGAGTGAACAGCCGGGTGGTATCTTACAAACGGTGCTCGGGTGAAATCCGTGGTGGTGGTTGCAGTTCCGAGACTGAACAAATATGGCCGAGTCGGAGAGACATTCGGCATAAACCTCGCCACCAACGTAATATAGGTGGACACCTTTGCCGATGTGCCTCCTCGTGTTCTCGATCGTCGAGTTGCGATTGACGTTGGAGAGTTGACCAAGACAGAAGCGGTCCGAGTTGTTGCTGGGATTGGTGAAGCCGTCGACGATGACCGAGTGGGACTGGCAATGAAATACCTCGCCGACTCGGCAATTCAGCTCGTAGTAGGCTATCGAAGCCCAATAAAGCGGTTCCTGGTAGCAGACCGGGGCAACCTCCGGACTCGCCGACGTGTCCATCGCGGAGCCACTGTTACTCGAGACAGTGGAGTCTGGGGGTGGCGATGGTCCGTGCTGCGAGCCTTCTTCCGGGGGTGAGTACGCCGGGGGTGGCGTTTCCGGCAAGCCGTTTGAACCATACGGACTTTGGGGGTTGGTCGATGTCGAGCCCGGACTGGGCACCGAGCCGACCGACGAGATCGGTGAGGTTGGGTTAACACCTCCGCCAACTGGACAACGACATTATGCTAATTTTTATGATCGCTATAATCTGCCATCAATAGCTTCTTAAAGCATACGATGCGTATTTTAAAAATTGGCATATTGATCGAACGTACGTCGGTTGACTCTAAATTGAAAATCATTGGATTTGTGCGAACCGCGTCTTTAAGCCATATCTTAGAAAAAAAATACTTGATACATGTTTATCTAATTTAATGGCTATTTGCATTATAAAAGTAATTTGACGTTCACGAGGTCTTGTATTATCTAAAAATCTATATTAACGTATAATCTCAAATAACGATATATGGCTATGAAATAATATAAAAGATCAAATTTGTTTCAAACATTTATGGACATAACGTGAACAAATTTTCTTAAAATTATGTAACAATAGTATACTATTGTCTTATTAAGGTCTAATAATTTTATTTAATTTAGAGTGATTTTATGGATATTATGGTTTGATTCGAACGATTTAATGATAAGTAATTGTGCATTGTCTTAAAATCAATAAAATATAATTACACATCAATTGTGTTAATTAGAGGCACAACAAGTTCAACATTAGAACACACAGACGTGACATTAAAAGCAGTGATCTTATTAACAAAATTTATTCACCATTGTATTTATAATTCAATACACACGAGGTAGCACTTATGATTAAATTTTTCTCTCACATTTCATGTTTTCCAACCTTTATATTATTTTACTATTTTATATGTAGAAAAATATATATGAAAATATATATAAAGAATATATATAAAAATGCTTATTCTAGTTTATTTAAGTGAAGTATTAATCAGAATCAGTAAAATTATATGTGATTGACGAAGAAAATTCATTTCAACAGAGTTTCTTCATTCAATTTACTTAAGATTTATTGTAAAAGATAATAAAGAACAGACCAGATTATTTTTGGTGACAAAAATACATTTAGGCAAAAAGATTATAATTTCAAATATGCGTTCATTGAATTTTCAGTTATTTTTTGTTTTTGTAAAATACAATTTTTGTATACGTATAATTCTTACTTGTTTATATACTTTGAGCAAATGAATTAAGAATATTTTGGCATATATTCATTTAAAATCAGTTTTTTTTTCCAAAAGACAAGTTTTTCTTTTCTTTGTTTTTTATAAAAATATACAAAAGTTATTTTCTTGTTATTTGTTTGTTAATAAAATCAAATACAGATTAATATTTCTCTGACGTCTCAATTAAATTTTATTTAATAAAAATAAGACCAGTCAGGTTTACGCACTTCTCATTATAGAATTATAAATCTTCATTATATATTATGGAAAATCGAGATATTAAAATGAGTATTATTTAATACTTAAAAAGATAATTATTATTCTATATTTCCTTTTTAAGAAATAAATGCTTTAATAATTTAATAAAATAAAGATTTACAATTAAAAATGATTTTAAATGTTTTAGTTTTCAATTTTAATTTCAATCATTTAATGAAAATTATTTCAATCATCAATTTTTCACAAACTCATTTTTTTTTCAATTCTTACAATTTATGCTTCTGTAATTCTTTTTCACCCAATACATTATAAGTGATTTGAACAAGAATATTTAATGGCAAATATTGTTTAAATTTTATTTACAAAATTAAATAAACAATATATTATATCATATTATTGTATTTATTGCATTGAATCTGGTCGTTGTTATTTAAAGTAATACTTAAATCTGTGCTTTTAATTATTTTAATAAAAAAATAACTTTCGACATCCATGAATAAGCATAATTTTATAATAGATTATTTGTCATTTGTTATTATTATTACTTGATATGAAATATCAACAAGAAAGATATATATATATATATATATATATATATATATATTATAACTAGAGAATCTATCTTACTTCATATAATTAATTTATACAATTAAACAATTAGTTTTATATAAATTATTTGGTCAAATTATTGATTTTTTATTCAGCGAATGATATAATTCGTTGTTTGATCAAAAGCATCAAATAATGAAATAAAACTATATAGGATTTTTCATTGTAAATAATTGTTATAGATCCATGATTTAATTTGAGAATATTTTAAACTTGATATCACAATTTGCCCAATTGGCATCATCAAACTCATTTCACCACTTTCACATTTTATGCAACTAATAAATATCAATGTCCTCCTATTTCAATAATCCTGTACACTTTTCATGATTCTTTTCATTCTCATATATATCATACAAAAAATGAGACAAACACACCTGCATTTGTGCCAGAAGGATTGAATCCAGTGGACGAGTAGGAAACATTGTGAGGCATAGTGGGCTCGGTGAGCTGTTGGAATGGCAAGAGCGAGTGGCCAGGAGCGAATTCGGAATGTCTCGGCACCAAGACAGGTGGTAGCACAGGACTTTCTACCCTTTTATAGTGATACGGATTGATACAGACTTCCTTCTGCTTAGCCGAGAATGGATATTGGCAGAGCTCCAAGGGCTTGAGCTCGTGGTGGGACTGCAGGTCTGGCCATCTCCAGACTCTACAGTATATCACATGGGGCAGACCTTTGCGATGAGACACCTGCAGTCTACCGTCGAGACTTCTAGGTATTGTCACGCACTTGCTGGGTGTACCGGGACAGCTAAGTGCACGCTCTAGTTCCTCGATCGCACCCTTACGCTTTTTCAATTTTTTCACCAGCGAGTCAACAGCCTTTTCTGCCCATTTCTCCTCTTCGTCGCCTTGCTTCCAGCCTAGCAATTTTTTTACCGCTGGACTGGTGAAGGTGAACAGACTATTAAGCGAAGACATCGGACCCGAACTCGACGACCCCTCTTCATCGTCCATTTTTTATTCTATCTAAGTTTTATCTTATAAAAGAGCACTTTCCTTAGCCTTCGTTTTTCTTTTTTCTTTTTTTTTTATTAAATCTAGGCACTGAAAGTGATAGAAATCGATGATTGATTTAGTATTCAAGATAGACATATAATAATATAAAAAGGTAAGGTAAAGAAAACATTATTTTTCAATGTTATTATAAAATTGAATATTAAACTTTTTATAGATTAATTTGTATTTTATGTTCTTACTGCAAACGCCAACTACGTTATACAAGTAAATTGTTTAAATATAAAAATTAATAAAGGATTTGTCAGTAAACAAGATCAAGTTTACTCATTACTGTTAAGCTATAATTGTTACATATGTAATTTGTACAGATAAGTAAAGATAAGTAAAGAAAGTCAAAATATGTACTGCAATTTATATCATTATTTCATTGAAAATACATCTTACCGAATTTAGGCTACATTGATCCATCAATGATTTAACATCTTGACTTTAATGAACCGACTTCGGCTAAAGAGTATTAAAAAATATTATTGCAATATTGGATGATGAATATTAAGTTTCTTTGAAATACTTTCATGTATTTATTTAATAATTTTGTTGATTTATTATACAAAACAATGTCCACGTTTTACCTAAAAGAATATAATTATTAAATACAAAGTAACAGATGATAGAGTTTTTAAACACTCAGTATCAAAATTTGGTATACAAAAGAGCACTTATGATCAACAGTGAGGAAGAGAGAGAAAGAGACAAATATAAACAACGTTAAAACATTGATAGCTGAAAGCAGATTGAAAGTAAGTAGACAAGCCAAATCACTTAATAAGAAATGCCTTAAATGAGTTAAATCTTTTAGTAAAGCTTCTAATTTATTATATATCATTATACCAAATTATTATCCTTTTGAAGCACAACAAATGAATTGACCTGTTGTATTTTTTCACACATCTTCAGGGACACTGACAAAATATGAGAATAAACAAATGGCTTTGTAAATGATAAAAATTAAATAACACATAATGCTTATTAATTTTAGCTACCGTGTCATTATGCAGAATTATTTGATCTAATAGCACAACAAACATGTAAGTCCTCGGTAATTTCCTCAAAACATACACGAACACGCGCGCACACTGATATACATATGTGTATATATATATATATATATACGCATAGTATGCGATTGAGCCTGCGTGTGAGCCGCGTGCGCGCGCGTACGCACTAGTGCATGTACACGTATAGATGTATAGACACGCGTATATGCATACGCACGATAAAATAAAAGAAGCGCAAGCAAGTTATCGAAGAATTGAAAAAAAGAAAACAAAATTTTGCATAAACTATGTATACTTCTCTTACTCTCTCTCATGCTCTCTCTTCTTTACACATGGAACCACCGAGAGAAGTGTAAAAACATTGGCGCGCGCTTATTTATGCTCTTTGTATATATAATCTAAACCGACAGAGCCACTCACATCCGAGTAGATGTACACACGGGGAGGTAAACGTGCGTATTCTTGACGTCGACGACGGCGACGACGGCGACGACGCCGATGCGTTCACATAGTCTGGACGGATGAGAGCGAAGCGTCTGCGTGAGCAAGTGTGTATGTTTACCCTCTGATGCTTACTCCCTTACAGAGTTGCGCGTACCAAACTTCTCTGCGTACGACGGGATATCCCTGATGTTTTCCCACCAGCAATAAACCGATAAATGCGCCCGAGTATAGTAGCACAAGAACGGTGACGACGGCGACGACGACGACGACGACGACGACGACGACGACGACGACGACGACGACGACGACGACGACGACGACGACGACGACGACGACGACGACGACGACGACGACGACGACGACGACGACGACGACGACGACGGCGCCGACGACGGCGACGACGACGACGACGGCGACGACGACGACAATAACGATGCTATCGCTAGTTTGAAAAAAATATAGACACCATGCGTTAGTGCACCCGTTTGTTTATGTATGTCAGTGTATGAGTGTGCCGTGGGCGGGCGTAGTGTGGGTGCATGCTCGCCTTGTGCGTGTGTGCGCGATTACAGTCACTCGCTTATAGCTTGGCGTATATAATATGGCCATTGGGGGGAAAATGGCGGACAGTCTGTTTACGCCTTCGAGCAAAAACATACGTGGGATCGAGATGTGCAAGTTAAGAAGTTGGCGCGCTGCGCGTTTACGGAAATCTGCGTGCGCTGGTCGCTCACCGATATTTTCTCATACAGGAATGTCACATGGATGGAATAGTCGCATTCGCATCGCTCCATTTTTCGCGGACGTGTGGGAAATCTCTTAATCCTTGGCGGCTACACGAGTCTTTTTACATAGATTCCTTGCGACTATCATTATCTGTTATATTATCTCTTTTATATTACTGCTTTTATTTACAGAATTGTATGAACGCAGCCTCTGCAATATTTTCTGTTCCATTATTCTGGGAATTTTACTTTATCTGTTCCAAGTTCTATCCTAGGCAGATAATACAATGCAATTTATAAATTTTAGATAAGTATAACGGGGAAGCATTGGAAATTCATGATTTTTTAATTATGTTTTGAAGTAATAACGATTACATTGCTCGCTAATATATGTTTCGTACAATTATTACGTAGATTATATATTGTGGCTGTAAATGATGCGTAGAAGAATTCATATTCATCCTATAAGCTGTATTGCAGCAACAATGAAGCTTATTATTTACATTAATTTATATAAGATAACAATGTTTATGTTTAATTCAAACGTACTTTAAAAATATAGTCATTTTTGGGCGTGAGTGAGTTTAAGTTAAATGCAAATGCGATTGAATTGGCATCAATTAGGGACTAGCGTCCTTACCTCAAATTATATAATTAAACGTATTATGGTGAAGAAAAGAAACGAGGCGCAATATTGAAAGTACTATTTTTATATAATTTCATGTCATTTAACAAATCTTTATTACATGTCACTAAATCTTATTTTTTTAGGAGATGTGCTTTAAAAAAATTAAATCTATCGATTAACTCGTTAGCGATTGATAATTCAAATATTTATTGAATAATATTATGTAATATGTATAATGCAAATTATAGATGTATTAATAAAGTACCGTTTAAAGATTCTTTTTTTTTTTTTTTTTTTTTTTTTTTTTTTTTAAATACTTAACATGAATTAAAGTTACGCTAAGACTTTGTTTAATTAAACGAAAAAAAAACAAACAAAAAAAAAACAAAATAAAAAAAACCATTTTTTATTCACAAATAAAAATAAGTTGTTTTAATAATAAGCAAACGGTAAGTTCATTTAATACTATATAAAAGTATAAAACAAAACAAACAAACAAAAAAACAAAAAAAAAAATCCATGGCAATATAAAAAATTATAACTAAATAATGATACGGTGATTTTATATGAATACACGATGCTGTTTCGCAAATAAATTTTGTAAATAAATATTCACCAAAAAATGTATGTAATTATTTGGATTTTCAATAATTTATAAGTGATTTAAAATTGTTCGTTTCGAGACAATTAAGTGCCGGTGGTTCTTTCATTGCCAATAAGTTTCACATTTAAATCATATGCCTAAATCTTTTGGGCATTTTAGAATTCATTTGGATGGGCAATGCAATTATCAAAAATTACGAATAATAATTACAAGCCTTGGAGAAAAATATGCTTTTTATTTATTTATTAATTTTCTTTTTTCTTTTTTTATTTAAAGTTTAATAATATCATAAGAGTACTTTGTTGACTCGACGTAGTAGAATATAAATATTTGTATTTTTTAATAAAAGTCGTACGATAATCGAAATTGTGTAAAAATATAATTTAAAGCATGCGGTAAGTCGTTAATTCTTTGCAAAATCTTGATCAATTAAATTATTCTCAATGCATTTAAAAACTTTGCACCACATAAAATTATAATATCCCATAATTTAAGCAGTTAAATTTGTTGTACATAAATCAACTTGATACAAATAATGTAAATAAATAAATTAATTTAACAATTGCTTCTAGTCGGCCAAGTTCAATTGCACTTAATGCATATATCATACATATATCATAATTTACGAATGCACTTTTCTTTTACTAAAATATAAATATACAATGATCTTTCAATGTCACGAGTAAAATGAACAATAATAAAATTGAAGTAAGTTAATTATAACGATACGCGTTGATAAAAAATGCAAATAAAAATTTATAATAATTTTGTAATAAGCTTAACATCATTATTTTATTATTTGTAAAATTACAAGATATAAAATTAAATAAATTTTACAACGAAAATTATATTTATACATTTGTATAAATTATTTCGAGAATTCGTCACTAACAGAATTTCTCACAGTATTCTTTAATATTTTCCTTTAATAGATATTTGAAAATACAAAAAAAAAAAAAAAAAAAAAAAAAAAAAAAAACAACAACATAGATGTCATTATTGATATTGCACAGATAAAAATGTACTATGGAGTTTCAATCAAATTTTTCTTATGTTGTTTTTTAAAATAGATACGAGTATATAAAGGTTTGTAAGAATTATCGGGATAGAAATGAAATTTAATGAAAATTCATATTCGTGTCTTCTAATATGAACTCAATAATGTTCGATCGACAAATTTCAAAAGCAACCGTCTACTTAAGCATAAAACACATTTTACATTTTACCACTTAATATTAATTGAAAATGTAATTTTCATACAATTATAACGCTACATTTTTTATAACACGAATCACAAGCATTATTAAAACTTACCCAATTTTCTAATTAATAAGTTCTTTCACTTTACCCGCTATTTTCGCGATGTTCCTCTCCCTCCTTTAATTCCTACATAATCAAATACAAATTATGGTTTTCATTTATTTTAAATAATTAAATTCTGCAATACAAATGCCTTATATACACATGCATATATATGCATATATATATATATATATATATATATATATATATATATTTTTTTTTATTTTATTTTATTTTAGTATACAGTACAATAACATTAATTTAAATAAAATTCTAGCAAATAGCAGATAAAGCAAAAATATACTGTCAATTTAAATTTGCTAGTCTCTCGCTTATTTGCGAGCGTATATAAAAATACGTATCATAACCTTAAAATTCG